ACCCAACGATGAACTATCCCAGATAAGGTTAAATTGGTACCGATCCTAGTTCCATGCTCAAGTCACTTACAATGAGATCGAAACAAATTTCTCATATTACAGGAGACTATAAATTAGTAAAACTCAGTTCTATAGCCTTTAAGAGGACACCCCACATATATAACATCAAAAGTGATGCCAACTGTGGTATGTATGTAAAACATTTTTTAAACAAATATTTTTTGAGATTTTACAATTAAGCATACACAACAACCATCACATATGAATAATAGGGTTTAGGGTTTACCTTAAAAACAAGATAAAATAAAAGATTTTAAAAGCTTTAGAGAGGAAGAATGGAAGAAAAAAAGTCTTCAAATATCAACAGTCCTACAAAGCAAATCAAACAAGACAAGCACATGAAATAGAGAGACAAATCAAACTAAAAAAAACTAAAAAAAAGAAAGAAAAATCACCAAACCAACTACCAAAACAAAAACAAGAAGCATAACTAATCATAGCTTAGAACTTACGTGTAGTAAAACATTAAAAATTCATCCTAGATTTTGAATATATAAAAATATATTAAAAATTGGTTAAATTTTAATGAAGGTTGGAATTCATCACAGCTCATCAACCAATGGAGATCAAGGAAGAAATGGAAGCTCATTAACAATAAATTAACCTTCAGATACAAAGACTAGCTTAAATAGCAAACCAAATCAGAGCAGAAACACCAATGTTCACTATGAAAAAGTCAATCCAACACGACTAGATAAATGTAGTAGAAAATTCAATTCAAAACCACATTATAATTTCAGTTTATTTGGAGCTATAAAATATTTCCAGAGAACATAAAAAGAAAAGCAATAGCCAATATTACTATTTCAATTTCTTGTTTATTTTCATGATCATAGTGAATCAGGCATCAAGCTATTCAAGCTTGTTTCTTAAGAGAATTCTTTGTAAGCTCATTTGGCTACTTAAAGTTAGCAAAATATGCTTTGAATTTACACTAACAAAGTGATTTTACTTTATTATTGTGGGGATGTCTAATAACTTATTTACAACCTTCTCCTGGAGGTAATGAAGATCTACATGTTATCGATAATGATAACTGAAAAGTACTCTTTGGGGCTTTCCTTAGGTAATTTTTCAAATCAAATTTCAAGGCTTTCAATGCACAAAATGAATTCATAGAAGTTTTGTGCTATTGTGTTATCACTTCTCATTATTATTGTGGGGATGTATAAGAAATTATTTACACCTTCTCCTTTAGGTGATGAGGATGATGTCTACATGCTATTGATGAAGATCACTGAGAAACACTATTTGAGAGTTTTCTTAAGTAATTTCTCAAACCAAACCAATAAAAACCAAACAAAAGAAAGAAAATCCACCAAAACAAAGACATAAAGGATAACCAATCAGAGCTCAGAACTTACATGTAGGAAAACATTAAAATTTCATCCTAGATTTTGAATATATAAAAGTATATTCAAAACTAATTGAATTTTAATGAAGGCTGGAAATTGTCACAGCTCAAAAAGCCAATCTCAGCAGCAAGTGAAGATCAATGAAAAAAAATGTAAGCTTATCAACAACAAATTAACCATCAGAAACAAGAACTAACTCAAATAGCAAACCAAATCAGAGTAGAAACACGAATGTTTGCTATTAAAAATTCAGTCCAACATGGCTAGATCAATATAGTAACAAATCCAATTCCAAACCACATTATTATTCAGATTGTTCCGAGCTATAAATCATTTCTAGAGAACAGAAAAAGAAAAAAAATAATCAACATTACTATTTCAATTTCTATTTTATTTTCATGATCATAATGAATCAAGCATCAAGCTATTTAAGCTTGTTTTTTAAGAGAATTCTTCATAATTTCATTTGACATTTTAGAGTTAGCAAAATATGTTTTGAATTTACACTAACAAAATGATTTTACTTTCTCGTTGCATCTTATTGTGGAGATGTCTAAGAATTTATTTACAGCCTTCTCCTAGAGGTAATGAGGATGATGTTCACATGTTATTGATGATGATCACTAACAAGTACTTTTTGAGACCTTCCTTAAATAATTTCTCAAAACAAAGTTAGGGGCTATCGACATATAAAATATAGGAATTTTTGTGCTGCTGTGTTGTCATACTTCTCATTATTATCATGGGGATGTCTACAAATTTATTTACAACCTTCTCCTTGAGGTAATGAAGATGATGTCTATATACTATTGATAATGTTCTTTGAGAAGTACTCTTTGAGGCTTTTCTTGAATAATTTTTCAAAGCAAAGTTAGAGGCTATCAATGCACAAAAGGATTTCATAGGAATTTTATGTTGTTGTGTCGTTATACTACCAAACACCACCTAGGCATGAAATCACATGAAAAGGAAGACGTGAAATTACATAATTTAATGGTTTCGCGTAAGAGACGAGCGAAAGGAGGACAAAAATGAGAGTTTTAGGCCTCTGCAAGTCGTGATCCTGTCGTAGGGTTTGGCTGTGAAGGTGATGATGTTGGGCAAAACCCATAGAGGGCTAGGTCGAGCGTTTCGAGGAGGGAAGGAAGCAGAAAGGAGAGCGTGAGCACAGGTGGAGGAAGACGAAGAGGAAATGAGGGATTCTGGCGGTGGTGTAGAATCAGGGCATATTCCAATAGCTTATAAACTGCTTAAAAGCTGTCGGTAATTAATATTATTACCAACGGAAATTCTAGTCGCTTATTAAAAAAACACGTCGTTTAACAACCCGTCAAATGATGAGTTAATATTTTTTTATAACTGATGGCATAATACATCAATAATAATAAAAACCATCGGTAATTAGTATTATTACCGACGAAAATTCCCATCGCTTATTAAAAAAACATGTCGGTAATTTTTGTTTATAACTAACGGTATAATATATTAATAATAATAATAATAATATGATACTCGTAAATAATTGATATAATATGATATTTGATTAATATTTTTATATAAACAACGATATAATGCATCAGTAATAATAAAAACAGTCGGAAAAATATCATTGTTGCTAAGGACATGTCATGTAGTTATACCATCACAAATTACCCAGCACATAAACCGTCGCTATGCCATCGAAAAAATATAACATTTTTTCCGACGTATTTTTAGGTCATCGATCTTAACGCTTTTTCTTTTAGTGGAGAATTGATTCAACAACATAATGGCCTTTAAGAAATTCGTGCACCAACTCAATTATCACCTATAATTCACACCATTTTCATTTTAGGGAGAATCAACCCAATCGATTTTATTGGCTTTTACAATTTTTGCACACAGTTTTTATATCCACCTTTAAGCCATAATATATACATTTTTAACGAAGAAACAATATGACCGAATTATAAATATTCAAAAATTTTCCGCACCATCTCACCCACTACTTTCAAATCATATTACTATAGAGGAATACCAATTTGACTATTTTTTATGACCTTCACTACTTTAGTGTATCGCTTTAACTATTGCATTCAAGTTACATGGTCTCGATGAAACGTTCAATTTGACATTCTTAAAACCCTAATTACCTTCAAGTTATGCCACCTCCAACTAAAGAAGTAGGGTGGGCTTAACTTCGTCATGTATCATGTCTTTTCTAACATCTCATTGTGTCAACTTCACCACTTGGCATTAGACCATTACCAGCCTCCCATTCTTTTTAGGATAACTTTATTGTTGCCTTTAGGTTGTGCCCCTTTTTATGTCTATGTAAGAAATTTTAAATCTAGCCAATCTTTAAATTAAATACTGTAGTCAGTAGTTAACACATTTCATCATAATTAAATTAAATAATGACATATCACTTAGGCTGACTACTGGTCAATATATATTCATGATAGTACGTATATTACATACGTAGGCATTTGCATACATACAACACAATTCTTATGTATTTATATATCTAATATTTAAATTTTTATTTTCACATGCATATAACTCAAATTATTAATATCACATACAAAATATTACTATTATTTATGTTTTAGATTGTTCTTATGATAATTTTTAAAATTATCATTATTATTATTATTATTTAAATTTATGAAATATATAATTTTAGTGAGAGATTTGGCTGTCAAAACAGCTCGTTGTTCGCGAACAACTAGTGTTCGGCTCGTTAAGAAGCTCGTGTTCGGCTCATTAATTTCGTTCGATAAGTTAACGAGCCTAAGATGTGTTCGGCTCGTTTTGGCTCAAAATACTACTCATCAAGTTATATATATAAAGTAGTAATTTATTTTTTTGCTTTTATAGACGGGGATCCTCTCCCCCTCCAATTATTGTACCTTTTCTTTTTTTTAAAAAAAGTAGTATTTTAAAAAAATCTAATTGACTACAAAGCTACAAAGATTTATAATCAATTAAAATATTGATTAAGAAAATATAATAAAAATTATTAAATTAGATTCAAATGATGTTTTAATATAAATAATAATTTTTAAATCTTGTTCAAA